AGACTAATAACAAAATGAAAAATTTAAACTTTGAAATTAGGCACATGTACAATGAGTTTCGAACGCTAACGCGCTATTACGTACTCTTCTTTGCACTATTTACCTAACTCTTAATTTCGCTAATGTGCAATGCAGTGAAATGAATAGACGTGAAATTACTGGTTAACAATAAGTCGTGCAGTACTAACTTTTAGACTGGAGTAGATTTGATATCTTTATTCAATCTATATTGTCTATCGTTAAATTAGTGGCTTCCATATTTAGCAACGTGATTTTGTACAATTAGAAATCAGACACGGTGAGCACGAGCGAGCTATGGTGCTTCTAAATAAATGCACTTCGATTCTAAGAAAATCACGGGAAAAATCTGCAAAGCGGTTCAAGGACACAGAACTATACGTCTGTATCAGTCAAAACTCATCGGCAAACTCCGGCTAATTCTTCCCCTCCTTCTTTCTCCTAGTCGTAACTTTTCGTAGTCGCAATATAATTTCGATTTCGATGATTTTTGGTGTTTAATGTTATCTCTCTCTCTATCGTATCAATCTGTATACAGGCTTGTCTCTGTCTATTAGGAAAGTTGAGTGTTATGCGCCGTCCTTTTCTATCTATTAAGCTATCTTTTTCTATTTAACGTAGGCATAGATATAAGTGGTCGTGGCTAATGCAGCATATGAATATGAATATCAAGCAGCATTTTAATTGCTATTACACACATGATATATTAGATAGATTTAACAATTATTTTTGATAGATAATTGTGAGAAGATAATTTCAATATTTTGACGTACACTTTTGCGGCAAATATTAATACACTTTTACGTATTTTTGCTATCAGAAATATTCAGTATTAATTGAGTACGCAGACCGAATCATAAAAGCTGCCCTATATTTGTATAGGCAAAAATCAAGAAAATATTTTACCTACGTTGGTAACATAAAGAAAATTTACTATACATTCACGCAAAATTAAGCAATTAATTACGCAAAAATAAAATACATATTAAATGTATTTTTCGAATGCTTTTCTTGAGTTAATCGACGTGTCTGAGTTGATTGCTCCGTAATTCCTTATTTTCTTTCTTGCAATATATGTTTACGGCAGCGTTGGTTAATTTCTTCTTCTTGATGTGAACAGCCTTTATTGGTATGACGACTTTCGGAGGAGGTTTTGGAATAATAGCATGTTATAATAATTATTTATTAATAGTACCGCTGGTGCTCATCGCGTAACAGCACATGAAAAAAAATAAATAAATGAATTGATAATTGTAAATTATTTTACAATTCACTGCGCTAGTGCAATTCGGAGTACAGAGAGCTGTCGCTGGCCTTTCCTGGACCACCTTGCAGTAATTCATCGACTGTTATTATTATATATCACACAACCCATTACACGCTATCTTGACGGAAAAAAAGATATTTAGGCAAATTCAACGGCATTTTAAAGGGAAAGATTTGTACTTTAAGATGCTTTAAATAGTTTTCTGTGATAAAATTTATTTACGATGCTATATAACCTTAAATATGTCACAAAACAGTGCTTTTGACACTTTTTAGGTTAGGATATCTCAAAAACCTGAACAATTCTGAGGCCAGATTTGAATTCAGTGCACCAAAATCCTTCAGAAATACAATAGCCGGCTTGTGATACAGTAAATGACCTATTATTTGTATACCTGTGTATTATACACATGAACTATTGTGCACCGGAAATATTACACAGTATATCTACATATCAATCGCTCTTGAGGCCTCTCAGCGCAACCAGCAGCCTCACCCTGACGTAAGGCAATGCAGAGTCGGAGTGCAGGATGTGTTTAAAGATGTACAGACTGGATGGAAGCCTCATCCCTACAGGGTGAGGCTTTCCGTGCATACGACAGATATTATGCGGAGGTACGCTCATGCGCAGACCTCGATGAGTGGCCCGAGATAGTACTAAGATGCCGCCTATACGGACCTTCAATGAGGCACGTCGATGCATCGATGTGGTTCTCGGGGGCCGCTTGGAAATCCCATCGAAGACTCCATGAGTGGTACCAGGGCGCCGACGACTCTATCCGCCAATAGTACGACACCGCACGTGTCAGTGACAGTGGAACCCACATCAGAGATGATCGCAAGGACCACTATCGACGTTCACCTTGTAATAGGCACGACGCCGAAAGAAAAACCTCTATGTGGACATAGCTAATTGGTCGTGACAATCTCTCGTTCATCCCTCGGAAACGTGATTTCTCAAGAGGCAATCTATTTCGTAACCAATGGGAGAGCTGCAACGTCTGCTACTATCTGGGCGTGACGCGAGCTGACCGATGCCCCCGCGTTATGGAAGACCACGATCTCGTCAACTGTCACCTTGACTGGGAGGTGCGCGAGAGATCCGAGAGTGAACAATGAGGCTCATGCGCGAGAGCATCTCAGAGGGCTTCTCATGCCTATGCTATGAAATCTAGCTACCTAAGGACAATTATTATAAATAGAATAATAGAGCCAGATAGAGGATTCGAAATTACTTTCAATCTTATGGCAGAATACTAAAGTGGTCACCCTATCTCGAACCATCACTCTAGATTGGAAGAAGATGAGACAGGAAGGTGGATGTAAAGAGCTCGTTAAGGACAACCGTTAGTTCTAACCATCACCGGTAACAAGGGGAGCGACACCTCTTGTGTGTCGCAGAGACAATCGTGGACCGTTTAGAAAAATTCAATTGTGGATAAACCTTTGAGGAGAGATCACTTACGATAAAATTGTTTTCGTCACTGGCGACACGAAAATAGACGCCACAATTAGCAAAAGCCAGCAGAAACCATCAGGCCATCCGCCCTTATCAGAAATTATTCTGGCTATCCACGAAGCTACAATCGCCAGATTAATCGGCCTAACCTACGTTTTCATCCATATTGAAGCTGGTCAGCAACGAAACTCCAGGCTATTGTGTATTTTTTACTTCACAAAGCTCTCATTGAACTGCAACCTTTGTTCTTTAATCAGTACGATAACTTAATTACCCTTCTGATTCCTGGTACGATAACTTAATTACCCTCCTGATTCCCTCGTTGAACCGGTATACAAAGATAGCGAAAAATCTTGGCGCGTTTGCGGACATTTTCGCGTTTTCTTTTGCAAATCAGTCTTCCCGCAGTGACATTGCTCGCTTTTAACAGAGTATTGTCGAGAAGATCAACCTGCAACAGGAAACGAGGCTTCGACAAATTATTTAAGTCACTTGTTAGAAATATTAGCTGCAATCATACCTCGTTATAATATATATTATATGCGTATATATTAATTTAAAAAAAAAATTGAAAATTATAAAATTTTTATTATAAAACCATAATAAGTATATTCTTCATCCAAAAACGCACATTCATTCAGTTATCATAGTATTTGTAACGTCCATGGTATTTAAAATACAGAAAACTTTCAAAAAATTAAGATTTTTTTACAAAAAGATAGGTATTTATAATAACAAAAAGTTAAATAAAACTCGAACTTTCATTTGAAGCTTTTATAATCCCCTTTCAAAAAGCAATAAGTTTTGTAACGGGGTGGCTATCTAGTAAAAATGAGAAATTTATTTAAGTACAAACTCCCACGATGCAGAGCTAACCGCCGCTCCGTTAAACACGAATATTATACGTATATTATATGTTATACGTGTATTCGCCTTTACGTCTGATGATTTCGTTTGAGTGTCTTATTTCCAACCGAGTTGAACTCACCTTAAGTCACTTGACTTGTGACACTCGATCTAGCTTAGGTGTGACTGACTTAATGCCTAATCCGCCTAATCCCCTAGATGAAATCGGATTAAGACTTAAGCCTTTACAGATCTAATAAGCTAATAGGAAACGAAATGACGTAAACGGCAAATAAAATTAACAAAGTTTAATCAATAAAAACTACAGTCTTTTACGGCCCGAAAGACTAACGCACGCGATAGGTTTTACAATTATAAATTATAATTTGGCGAGAGAGAGAGAGAGAATTTGAAAATTGCCGCGAAAACTAACGCTCGGCGCGAATACAAAAAATTTAAGATCGCGATTGACAAAATACTTTCGAAAGTATTTTGTCGCGCAACAATAAGGGGAGGTGCACCTACCCTGCTGTGCAATTACGGTGATCAGCCGTAATTATTGTTAAAGAAAATCAACGGTCGATGCTCCTCTAATTGATCAGCTGCGCTGCCTCGCTCTCCAATCTGTTGCTATTTGCTGGTGCTATAATGCTGCTGCTTACTGCCGCTATAATGCTGTTACACTGACGTACGTATATAATAGTCCCAGAAAACTTTATAAGAAACGGTGAAACACAATGCAAAACAAGTTGGTGGTATTCTCACAAAAGCAGCTGAGGCTTAACTGCCTATTTTCAAATTCTCGCGCGCCCTCTCTCTCTTTCTCTCTCTCTCTCTCTCTCTCTCTCCCTCTCTCTCTCTCTTTCTCTAATCGTGCGAACTAACACGCGAGTAAAAGAATCGCGAACGGATCGATTAATTGAATCGACTACCGATGCAGTTTTTTAAAGTATGATTATTTTCAACTGCCATATAAGTGATCATAGTTCTAAGAAATTGTTTTTTTTAATTTCACACTTACACAGCACAACCATACTTATAGTATACATTACTTTTTACAGTACAAGGGCATCATCAAAGCTTTCCAATGAGTGGTATAAATTTTTTTATGCGTATAGAACCTTAAATAAATAACTTTGAAAATTTGAAAATTTTTATTTTGGGTGAGCTTAAAACTTTTAAGCGGTAATGTAAATTTTTTTGCAAGCTGAATAAGATGAATATTGCATGCAGATAAAACCAACTATAATAAATTCATTCTAAACAATAACTCCAAATAATGAAGTTATAGAGAGTTAAATTATAAAGAGTTGACTGTTTACAAATTAATTAAAATAATTATTCAAATATTTCAAGAAAAAGCTCCTTTGATTAATTATAATAGTTTATAACAAATAATTCAGTAATTTACCATGACATATCTCCCGAGCTAGTAACAATCTGATTGTCGTCAAGAAATCGACAACATGAAAGATAACCGGTATGTCCTGGAAGCTCTCTGCTAACTCGAACATTTCCTTCTCTTGTTTTGAGACTATATATTGAACAAATATTGTCTAGTCCACCACAGGCAACATAGCTTCCAGATGGTGCATATGCGCAAGTCATTACCCAAGATGAACGTAGTGGTATAGCATGGACTTTGTTAGTAGTATAACTATCCCATACAATTAATTTACCATCTTGTGATGCGGAGACCAAGTTCCTACAATTTAAAAGTTCAAATTTAATATTCAAATATACAGTTATAACTTTTACTGTCTAAAATATTTTGGGTTCATGCAATTCAATTAATCCGAGCATTTTATAATTAAAATTTTGATTATTCTTTTTATTTTTTTTTCATACATATTATGTAGAGTTCAATTTTGACCTCACTTTTAAAATGTGATCGTTGTCAAAATAAGATTTCTTACGCGTAATTTCTCTTTTGTGGAATGCACAAAAATGTTAAATTTTGATAAGATAGGAAAAAAAAAATTTTCTTTAGAAATTAGAAACACAAAAGAACTTTATTTGTTTAAAGTTTTAGGTTTCAAAATTTTCAGCTTTTATTCATTATTATCTTTATTGAGATATATTCATATAAGAGGTAAATTTATGTCAAAAAGGTGCAAAGTACAGTGGTGCAATGCACAGTATAGAATGCGACTTGTACTGACTTGCTGAATTGTAACTCAGCAGATCAGCAAATGTATATAAAAAACTGAGCGAGAAACGGCACCCTGGTACTGTACTGCAGATTATCATATTGTTAGGACGATGTATTAATTTTAACTATAATATATTATTATAAATGCGTAGATTCACACTTATGCGGACTGTATAAAAATGGATTCAAGGTATGATGCTTAAACGCATCCCTCACCCTAGGATGAAAAATGCTGGTGATATTTTATATATATAAATATTACCAGAGTAAGTACATAAGTTACATTGTTAGCAATATACATACATACATCACAAAATATTGTAACTTATCAGAGATAACATCGCACAGGTATATATTACCTCTATCTATATTAAATCTATATCTACCTCTATCTATATATATAAAATTATATATCTACTTATATATAAAGAAAAAAAAAACAAAAAAAAAAAAAAAAGAAAAGAAGGAAAAAAACTTCAAAACGAAGGAAAATAATATTTAAAAAATCAACAATTGTACCGCTTGTCTAAGCTTGGCAGTGAAAACTACCATGTTAAGCAGTAAAAATGTTAACTAAATATTGTACTATTCTACTACTATCTTCTTCACCAAACTCTGATTAGCATCTGTCTTACTGTATTGTAGTAATCCATGCTAGTTTTCTTTTCTTTTGTATATATTATCTTTTCCACCTTGTTTTGATGGGCCGGACAAGTAAGTTCAACCGTACATGTTACCCTATAGTGTGGGAACATACTTTGATATTATAATATTAGTGCAATTGCAAGTGGATATGAACAGCACATCATCTACAACTATTAAGTCTTTATGTTTTGGTTGAAATTTTAGCGAGTAAACTGAGTTAGTAAAAGTTTGCGTTCCTTGAGTTCCTCTATCGAAATAGAGAAGAGCTTTGTTGCTTCCCGATAGTTGATATCCTCGTAGGTCATCCTGATATAGTTTGCAGACTGTAATGATTTTCCAGGGGTTGACAATGCCTTTTGCATTAAAATCGTATTAGTGTTTTCAACAGATATGTTATCAATAGTGTCAAAAACAGTTTCGATGGGATATTTTGTCTTATAATTGGATTCTTCAGATTCTCATTTTAAAGTAGTGGCTTTCATAAATTGTACATATTTAATACTTTTAGTGCGGAGTTTTATGTCTAATTTTCGATAAATTTTCACAGTATCTGTTAAGTCAGTCCGTGATTCCAAAAACGTGTTAGTTAAGTCTGTTATAACTTTTAATAGTTTAACACTTTTTTGTTGCGTTTAAGTATACTTATACGAAGTTAATCTATTATGGGTTCTGTTGTATAAGTTGCCAAAACCATGGGCACATAAATATGTTCTAATATCCAGTAAAATCTTGTTAAGGTGATTTGTATCCTTATGGACATCCAAAGTAAGATATAAAAAATCTTTGAACATGGTCATTAATGACGGATTGATTCAATGATAAATTTTGTAATAATGGAAAGAAGGGAAATAGTGAGAGATGGAAATTCACTTAATTTTAATTATATTTAGCAACGTTTCGTCAGCACATTTGCTGACCTCTTCAGGCTTTATTAACAGAAAAACAACAAATTATTAACAATGAAGTGGCAAATGTAATTTTAAAGACAAATTATACGAGGGTCGTTTAAAAAGTCCGTGCAAAGTCAGAGAGATGGCGCTACTAGTGCGTATCAAGGTTATTTTCAGTTAATGGCATATCTTGAAAGAGCACACGCCAAGTTTCAGCCAGATCGGCCAATTACTTTGCGTTTTACATTCGTTTCAATCAAAGAAATCGAGTAGTTGTAAAAAAATGGACGAAAAAGAATTTCGTGTATTGATTAAATATTACTTTTTCAAAGGCAAAACGCCTCAGGAGATTAAACAGAAGCTTGATAAACATTATGGTGATTGTGCACCTTCGATTAGAATGGTTTATAAGTGGTTTCAAAATTTTCGGTCTGGCTATATGAGCACAAAAGACGCTGAACGTTCTGGACGTCCTGTTGAGGTTACCACTTCAGAAATCATTGATAAAATCCATGATATGGTGATGGCTGACAGAAGAGTGAAGGTGCGTGAGATTGCTAGTACTGTGGACATCTCGAGCGAACGGGTACATAATATTTTGCACCAACATTTGGACATGAAAAAGCTATCCGCTAGATGGGTGCCGCAATTGCTCACGATTGATCAAAAACGAGATCGTGTGAAGTGTTGCAAGAATGGTTTGCAGCTGTTCCAGCAAAATCTGCAAGACTTTAAGCGTCGTTTCATCACTGTAGATGAAACATGGATACATCACTACACTCCTCAGACCAAAGAATAGTCTAAACAATGGGTTCCCAAGGGGAAATCTGCTCCGAAAAAGGCGAAGACAATTCCTTCGGCCGGGAAGGTTACGGCGACTGTCTTTTGAGATTCAACGACTATCTGGAAAAGGGTAAAACCATTACAGGCGAATATTATTCATCGTTATTGGATCGTTTGAAAACCGAGTTGCTAGAGAAACGTCCACGTTGACCCACAAAAAAGTCCTCTTCCACTACGACAATGCGCCAGCTTACGCCTCAGCAGTTATGGCCGCAAAACTGATGGAGATAGGGTTTCAACTCGTTTCACATCTTCCCTATTCTCCAGACTTGGCTCCGTCGGACTACTATTTGTTCCCTAATATGAAAAAATGGCTGGCGGGGAAAAGATTTTATTCAAACGAGGAGGTGATTGCAGAAACGAATGCCTATTTTACAGACTTGGACAAATCCTATTATTTGGAAGGGATTAACAAACTAGAGCAGCGTTGGATGAAATGTATAAGCCTAAAAGGAGACTATGTTGAAAAATAAAAAAGATTTATTAAACAAAATCAAGCAGTTTTTATTTTTGCACGGACTTGTCAAACGACCCTCGTATGTATATGTGTGTACCTGATTTCTCTCATAGTCAAATTATTATAGGCTGAAACGAACAGCTCCTAGCCGTTACAATACAGTAAGAAATCAAGTATTTCAACACATATATATATATATGTATATATATATATTCTTCATTTATCATCCTATGTAGACAGCTGAACATTGTTTGCAGTTAAAACTGTAGATATAGGAATAAATGGTTATTTATTTAAGTAGTTTACTCCTATTAGTAATAAGTCAATTAGTTAATAATAAAACGATTGTTTATTAAGAATACAATTGACAGACTGACTATAAAATGTTTTTTTATTAAACGAAATGAATGTTCGTTGCTATGCTCACACTTTTGTTTCTCAACCACGTTCGAATGTTGCTTCGAATGCTCGGTGCGCTCGCCACACTACCCCCCTTGGCAGAGAATTTGGGTACAAATTTAAAATGTCTCGAAATTTGACTCTTCTGCCAAATCGTGTAGTGCGTTCGGGAACTTGCGTGGGTTCTGTAGGCACAACATCAGGAACAGGAACTGGTATTGGTTCTGTAGGTACAGAATAAGGAATAGAAACAGGAACAGGAATTGGTTCTGTAGGTACAGCATCAGGAACAGAAACAGGAACAGGTGTGACATCATCTTGCAAAATGAATGCAGGTTTCACTCGGTGAATAGAGACTTTGGTAGACTTGTTACAGATCTTGAGTGTGATCGTTTTTGCGTTTCGATCCGTGACTTCGTATGGGCCAGTGTATGGTGGTTGGAGTGCCTTTAGAAAAGGTCCTTGTTTTAAAAAGGCATGACTGCATTTGGAGAGCTTCTTGAAAATGAAAACGCCAGGTTGACAATGTCTTGATGCTGGAGTTGGGCGTAAGCGTGACATGAACTCTCGTAAGCTTGAGAAGAAGCTGCTTGGATCGCCGAAATTCTTGTTTTCAAGGTTTGAAGAAAGCAGTTCAAAAGGTAAACGAAGAGTTTCTCCATAGACCATCTCTGCTGAAGTAGCCTTGATATCTTCTTTAAAAGCAGAACGAATACCAAAAAGTACCAGAGGCAAAGCTTGAACCCAATCGATGTCAGAATGAGCCATGATTGCAGCTTTTAAATGGCGGTGTAAGCGTTCGATCAAACCATTCGAAGCAGGATGCTAACTTGTAGTGAAGTTGTGTCGGATTCCGAAGAGTTTGATAAAGTTCTTGAAGAGGTGTGAAATAAATTGAGGATCACGATCTGAGGATAAAGTTTCTGGAAAGCCAAAACGAGATATCCAGCAATCTAAAAGTGCTTGAGTCACAGTGTCTGCGGTTATGTTCTCTAAAAGATAAAATCGAGTAAAACGATCGATGACAGTCAAGCAATATCGAAAAGCACGTGCAGGTGGAAGTGGACCAATCAAATCGATGTGGATGTGTGAAAATCTCTTCGTTGGAGTCTCGAAATTTCCAAGTGGAGCGTGAACATGGCGAGTAATTTTTGATCGTTGACAATCACTGCAAGTACGAGCCCAATTTCGGCAATCCTTATTCATGGAAGGCCAAACAGATCGATCGCTGATTAATTTGAGTGAAGTGTTTGCGCCGGGATGACTCAAAGTGTGCAGTTGGTTGAACATGTCACGGCGAAAAGGCTGTGTGATGAAAG